AGATAGTCAAGTTGCGGGCCACGCGGAGTACGTTTTAAAAAATAGAAATTATATTTTATGAACGTTTATTCCGTACCAAATCTGACTTAAGACTAACTTATTACTAATCTTAATCTAACGGGAAGGGCATCGGACCACCGGTCCAGCGGATGCCGTCGTCTGCGAATTCCACAATTCAGCAGTTGAGTTCGCCGAAGATTTGCCTTTGCAGACATGCGTCAGCAGAGGTGCCCGACTTAACTCCTCCCTCCTTAAGAACGGAGTTCTCTGTTTCAGGAGAACTACGTACTGAAATCTTACAAAATTTCAGACGGTACTTATATACTAAGGCACATAACATGAAAATTATTAAAATTACATAAATGCAAAGAGTCCAAACGCTAACACTTTTCACATGGATAATTGCCTTTTCACTGTTTTCACAACCACTAACACTTTTCTTCAGGGCGAATGAGAGGATCTTCAAGTCTGTAAGATCGACGTCTTCCAGGTGTACTGGTTCTGCAGTTTTCATTTTACTCGTTGAATTAAGTAGGGGTAAATTGAGCATCGGTGATTTTGTATGTTCTATATTTTCCACATTGGTTTGGCGCATTTTCAGAGTTATATTTCGGATCTTAATTTCACAGGGGTCATCAAGGGTGAGTATATAGGTGCCTTGGATTTTCTGTCGGGATATTTCTTCAGGACAGGTTTTGGTAAGTAATGTCTCATCTCTAGCGTATAAAATCCATTGGTTTTGTTGTAGAATCTCAATTTTGATGTCTTCTATAATTACTGGAATTTGAATGCATGATTTCACGTTTTCTACGTACATCATTAGATCAGTTATGCAGGGGTCTTGTATGAATTGCAGCATCTCATCGTTGATGCAGATGAAGCTGGCCTCGTCGATTTCCTGGCACGGCTGGGCAAGCAGTCTGATCTTCAACCCTTTCGCTAAGAGGTAGGGATATTTTGGAAGGATAATTACTGTAGGATTTTGAGATACGGGCAATGGTTTTAGTTTATAATAGATATAGGTTTCCTTTTCGATCAAAGGTATTTCCAAAACATAGGTAATTTGGCTCTTCTTAAAATAAGCCTTAAGTGTTATCGTTTGCTCTATCTTAACTAAATTTCCTAAACTAGGGGTATAAACTAATTTATCTTTCTTATGAATATTTTCAAGTAAACTTAAAAATTTGTTTGAATCAATAATGGATTGATGTAATATTCCTAATCTACTAAGTGCAAAACTAGTTTCTATTTCACTTAGTTTAGCATGAATCGTCTGCAGGTTATGGTATATTTTATTGTATGCGGATATGATTTGAACTTCAAAGTGTTCAATACATAAATTTTCAGTATAATTTTGCCACAATGTTGTAATTTCCTTATTCAATCGAATGAGGTTTCTATTTAAGGTAATGGTTGAATTAGATAAAATTTGCACCTTTTCAGAGATTAACGTTAATTTTTTATCATTAGCATCTTGATCTGATTTTATCTCACTAATTAATTTATCGTATTTTATGGCATCATCATGATCCAGATTTCCTGTAATGATTTTAATTAATGATCCAATTGGGTTAATCAGTCCGCGTTTGATTTTAAAGGTAAGAGTGATTTGTTCGAATTTGCTTACTGTTAGATTTTGCATATAGTCTACTTGTTCTCTTACATCTATAAAATTATAAGTAAAGTTCTTAATAAACTTAACATTAACTAAACTATTTAGTTACCTGAAACATTGAATGTTAAGATCTAAGTCTTCCCTAATAGGTTTAAAGTCCAATACTCTTGCTATTATCCACTTGTCTTTGCTCAAAACAGCAGTGCCTTCCCTCACGGGTAAAACTCCGGGATTGTTATTTAATACCTGAAGTTGAAGGTCGTGGACTTGCGTCATGATCGTCATCAGGAGGACGCGGAGGTGCCTGTGAAGGGCGTTTAATGTTTTTTAATGGAACTTTTGTACTGCGTTCTTTTATTTGAACGGGAACTGTGTTTCTGACTATGTCATCTGTAACTATAGCTTTTTGGTAGCGCGGCTTATCTTTGCTAATTCTTTTATTTGTGTTTTTGGAAAATATGGTGTCTCCTGATTTAATATTAAATTCTGTTTCTCCTGCTCTTTTATCATTTCGTTTTTCCTTCAGTTTTATTGTTTGTTCCGAAATATGTTTGTATAAAAATTTAGTTCTTTTTGCGTGTTCTTTTATTAATTGTTGTATATATTGTTTTTTTATTAATTGTTTTATTAATTGTTGTTATTAAAGTCGGCATCAAAAGTATTTCTAGAGTCTGTGTGTCCTAGGAATATCTCGAATGGGGTGTAGCCAGTACTGGAGTGAATAGCCTGATTATAGGCCATAATAGCATAGGTCATTATGGATGCTGCATCCGTGTATTTTTGTTCGTATTTAGCCAATCTATATATTTCTAGTATTGTGGAATGGAACCTTTCTATGAGTCCCATGGAGTTCGGGTTGTTAGGTGTACTGATGTGTAAATCTATTTTGTAAAATGCTAAGAGTTCTTTTAGAAGTGCATTATTAAATTTTGTATCAGGGTCCGAGCTGATTTTTTGGGGTATCCCATAAAATGAAAAGTATTTTATTGGGGCTCGTACTACTTCAGGAGTAGATCGGTTTGTAATTTCTAGTGCTTGTCCCAGTTTGCTGAAGTAATAGTAATGTCCTTCGATAGTAAATAAGTCGATAAAAAGTTCTTCTAAAGGTTTAGTCTGTGTCTGTGTTAATTGTAGTGTAGGTCTGAGGGGTTTCCTGTCATATTTCATACGTTTACATACTTCGCAAGAGTTTATGACGCTTGAAACGGTTTGTTCCATTTTATGCCAAAAGTATGTGCGTTTAATGTGTGTAAGTGTTTCTCTTATACCTCGGTGACATGTTTTACCTGTATGATATTTTTCAACGATTTCTTTTGGTCCTAATTCATTTTCAATAAAAACTACTCTTTTAGTACATTCGAAAAATTGTACCATTTCCTTTTTGAATAAAAATATTATTGTTTTTGTAAATTGTCTCTTATGTTGGTCATCTTCGAAATAAATTAAGTATTTAGTATTGTTCTTTATATATTCCTTAAGAAACTGTTTAACGAGGTCAGGTCGATTAACTGGTAAGTGGACTTCTAAAATTCTTTGTTTTTCTCTAGACAAATTTTTAACTGAGAGTTTGTCGATAAGCCATGTATAGACTAAAATTTGATTTGATTTTGTATCTATGGCTTCTTGTAAGATAGGAATACCTTTCGATTCTGTATCTTGTGCGGAATGAGCAGTTTCTGTGTTACTAGGTGAACCTTCGGATGCGGTCAGGGTGGAACTACAGTATGGTATTGAGTAAGGTGAGCGACAATGGGCTGTTAAAGTTCTCTCAGAGTCTGTGTCGGAAATAGACATAGTTTCTAAATTTTCCTCGGGTTCTCTACGCAAATTTTCTATTTCTTTAATAATTTCTTTTACCTGTTTATTTCTATTTCTATCTTTGTCAACGTTTACTTTCAATGAGCTATTATCTTTGTCTAAGGCATTTAATTTAATACGCGATAAGGCGTCTGCGTTATTATTCAGTTTTCCACTTTTTTTTGGTACTAGGTGCACGGGTGCACTCCAGGGTGAGTGAGAATGAGTTACTATATTATTTTCTAACATTTTCTCAACTTGTCTACATATTTCGTCGTTAATCACTTGGGGCTGTCTATATGGTCGTTTAAAAACAGGATCTTCGTTACGAGTGCGAATGTGGTGTTTAACATCGTTGGTAAAAGTCAAGGGTGGTTTTTCAGAATAAAATATATTTTTATATTCGGAGCAGAGTTTACGAATGTATGTTTTCTCCTCTTCATTCATGTGATCTAATCGTAATTTATTATTTAAATTTTCGGTTAATATACTATCGACGTCTATGTTTGTCATGTCAATGTCAGTTATATTGTTAATTTCACATGTGTCACTATTGTATTCAGTTACGGTTACTGGTGTAAGGAAATTTAAAGTTACTTCGCGGTCTTTAATGTTTTGTATGACCGTCGTCGCGAAACCGTTTTCGCATCTTACTATTGCACTAGGCATTCCAACTCCGTCACAAAAGATTTTATAATTCATTATTGCTTGTCCGTTCCGTAGGTTTGTAGGTAACCTAACTCTTTGTTCACAACGTGGGGCTATTTTAATTGAACAACCGGGATTATATATTATAGGTATTTTAGTGGTATTTGTATGTAGTAGTAAGTTTTTCATATCAATTTTTGTATCTAGCTGTTTTAGTAGATCACTTCCTATTAGTCCGTAGTAACGTCCGTCTACGTCATATACAATTTAAGTTTATTATCGCGGGGGTTGGTTGTTGGTAATTATGTGAAAATTTTCTACTACGGGGTCGTATTCTTTGGTTTGATCAGTTTCTAATGTTTCAAACTCTTCCATTACTTCTGTATTACTATAATCATCGTATGAAGGGTTCTGAATTTCAGAATTGTTATAATTATTATCGTCATCGTTTAAGTTGTATAATTCGTTCATGCGTATTCCTAGTGGCTTAGCGGTACGCATACTAACATCAGTCGGTTCGTTCCTAGGTTGTAACACCTGTGGGGGATGATATCCAAATTGTTGGGGCTTATAACCGAATTGGGGGTTATTTTGATTTAACTGGGGTCGGTAACCGAATTGAGGTTGATTTAAGTTTGGCTTGTAACCAAATTGATTTTGGTTCAAAGGTGGTCGATATCCAAAATGAGTTTGATTTTGAGGTCGATATCCGAATTGTTGCGTTTGTGGTAATTTTATTTGTTTGCTAGCGGGAATTCCAAATTTAAATTTATTTTGCTGTTGAAGTTGATTTGACATGGTTGCGACATTTTGTGGAATACCGAATTTATACTGAGGCTGTGTGTTACTAATGAAATGAGGTTTTATTACATTTTTATCTGCAAACTGAAAATTGTTGAACGGTTGAGGTCTAGGAGCCGTACACTGGGTATTTTGTTGTTTTAACATTTTATTGCGTGAACTATATTGGAACATAAAATTAACTTCTTCTAATACTATACTTAGTGCTTTTTCTAACGAATCACATCCTTTTAATCTAACTATACGAAGAAGGTCCTCCGGTAGATTATATAAGAACAAATTCATAGACATGTTGTCATATATTATAATTTTACTTTTACGAAGGTTATCATCCTGTATTAAATTTACTTTTGCAATCAAAGTACTTTTAATATGCTGTATTCTATTACAGAAATCTAGATACGATTCTCCGTTATTAATTTTTTAAGTTTCTAATTCTATTGCAATACATTCTTCCGAACGTGGATCTCCGAAATGTTGTTCTAGGGCTGTTTTTAATGAGTCCCATGTATCTAAATCTTGTCTTTCGCTAATAAGAGCTGCGGCTTTCCCACACAATCGGGATGTCACAACATGAAATATATATAAGTCCTGTTCTCTACTATCATCTACACGACACAATCGAATTACATATTCGCATTTTCTAATAAATAAATTTAATAACTTTTCGTCACCGAATTTGGGGATGACGTCGAATTTGGGGATGACGTTAGCAATTTCACGTGGTATCTGAGATATGTTGAACATGTTAATTTATTTTATTAATTACTTTGTTTAAATAAAATTGAAATGATTTTAATAAGTATGTCGTATAAAATTTTGTAATTCTTATAACTAAAAGTAAATTTCAATATTCTTTAATTTTATGTATTATATGTAATTTTATTAATTTTACACTTAATTCCTAGCTAAAAGAAAACTGAAAACACTTTTCGAATTTTGGAAATAGCGCTCTGTCTTCTAGAAAAACGTATAACTATTATACTAAGGAATGGAATGGAATGAAAATAGCGATTAGGGTCTACTCACAGACTGTCCATATCCTCGGGGTGAATCTCAAGCAGATGGTGGTGACTTCC